GTATTGTATTCTACCACTGATCACTTTAGCTCTGCTTGATACTTTGCACATTGTCTCACAGTTGTCACTGGGTGGTCCCACCGCACTACGGTTCACTTACATTACGAAATGTCCTTCCATACCTATTTATCATGTCCTTGTTTATGATGATACTAATGCAGCGTGTTGTACCGGAGACAAATTCCTTGTGTGTTCTAGATACTTGGCCAATCAAGATGATTCTGATTCTGTTAAGAGGGGCTTGTACCACTGGGGGTATTGCGACTGAAACTTCGGGAGCATGCGTGTCTTGGGATCTGTTGATGAGTGCTGATGTCAAGGCCTGTAACTGTAGCAAAACCTCTGCCTGTTGTTTCGCCAACGCCATCTGCTGGTTAAACTAGGCCTCCACCGCAAGCTGAAGAGGCTGGATTTGAGTCTGAAGGCCCTGTAAGGGGTGCTGGGTGTGGGTAGCGGTCAGGTGAACCTGCTTGACGAGAGCATCTTGGATCAAATCGAGTCCAGATTTGTCTGTTTTGGCTAGGGTCGTCATGGCAAGTTTGTATTGTTCGGGTTTGTATGTGACCCCAATTGCACAACAGGCAGGTATTGTGTAAGCCAACACTTGGTGTTGTTTATTAGAGTCTTTGCAAAGTCAACTCAGGGAAAAGCATGAGGAATCCACAGGAAAATCTCTTGTACAGGATGCAAAACCCTCACTCAGGGAAAAAAACTGGGACTTACTCAAAACTTCAGGGAGAAGCACGAGGAGTCCACAAGCAAATGTCTGCACAGGAAACGAAAACTTCAGGAGATGCCAATAGAGCTCACTACAGCTGGTAACGGCACACACTTGCACTGAGGACTTGTTTGGGAGCCAACTTATACCAGTCCAAACGAGCAGATTAACTACAGGTGGGTGATGAGCTGACGAGTATCAGGTGTGAGGTGCAGGGCACCCTGGCTGAGGATGCTGCCTGGCTGGCCCCTCCCTAACAAATTGGAATTAAAAAATATTTAGTCTTGTCCTAGGCGTCGGTATCCTCACGTACCAGTACCCCAACGTGGCCAGGAATGCAAGCACCCTTTATCGCCGCTCACAGCTCTAGTATGTTAAATGTTCTCTAATGCAGGGGTCCCCAACCGCCGGGCCGCGGACCGGTAACTGTCCGCGGGTCATTTGGTGCTGGGCCACACAGAAAGAATAAATAACTTACATTCCTTCCGTTTTATTCATTTCAGAATCTGAAAGATGTTTTATTTTGAAAAATGACCGGATTCTCTGTTATATCAGTCTACAGTATGTCACTCTTGACGCAGATGCATGAGCGCTTCTCGATCACGTGATAGGTTACCGCAAAAAAATAAACGTCTTTGAAAAGTTTTTTTCGGGATGGGGAAAAGGCCCAGCCAGGAGACAGAAGAGGAGCCGACAATTTCAAGAAAGAGAAGGCTACATTTAATAGACAGTATCGGGAGTCCTATTTCAAATTCGGCTTTATCTCAACGGGAAATTCATACGCACCAAGCCTACTCTGCATAATAAGTGGCGATGGTGAGTCGTATTTTTATGCACTTTTTATTTGCGGCGTATCTTATTTTGAAGGCACGTTTAAACATTACCATAGTAACTAGATAATGTTGCGGCCACATAGGATGTTCCTCGTGTCATGATTCGTGTTTATTATTACGTTTCGAAAATACCACATTTTCCATGCAGGTCATATCATATTATATTGTTGTATCTATCTGACCCTGAAAGTATTGTCTGACATGAAACCGGACCGTGGGGCAAAAAAGGTTGGGGACCTCTGCTCTAATGCACTTCATTATAGCTGCAGTTTTTGTGAAAGGGCTATATAGCTATGCACTGTATTGTTTTGTAGAAAAATGACGCTAATTCAAATCAGTGCGAAAACGTATGGAACTTTGCACACATATCACGCCTCAACTAGATAATGTTGCGGCCACATAGGATGTTCCTCGTGTCATGATTCGTGTTTATTATTACGTTTCGAAAATACCACATTTTCCATGCAGGTCATATCATATTATATTGTTGTATCTATCTGACCCTGAAAGTATTGTCTGACTTGAAACCGGACCGTGGGGCAAAAAAGGTTGGGGACCTCTGCTCTAATGCACTTCATTATAGCTGCAGTTTTTGTGAAAGCGCTATATAGCTATGCACTGTATTGTTTTGTATAAGAAAAATAACGCTAATTCAAATCAGTGTGAAAACGTATGGAACTTTGCACACATATCACGCCTCGCTAAATAATCAATATTTTCTTTGTTTATTGTGTGATTTTTAAACAATGGCTCAGTAGCGCCCCCTAGCAACACACAGCAGGCCTGGCAAAAGCTGCAAATCTGTATACTACAGATTTATTTTGCCATTAAAAAAAAAAAAAAAACAACAAAAAAAAACTCCTCAAATTTCCATGTGCCAGCACCCTAAAATGGCAAGGGCCCTTCAAAGTTGCCCACAGCTCTAATTATCATCCATCCATTTTCCCATCCGCTCATCCTCACAAGGGTTGCGGGAGGGTGCTGGAGCCTATCTCAGCTGTCTTCGGGCAGTAGGCGGGGGACACCCTGAACCGGTTGCCAGCCAATCGCAGAGCACACATAGATGAACATCCGCGCTCGCACTCACACCTAGGGACAATTTAGAGTGTTCAATCAGCCTGCCATGCAAGT